GCCGTGGCGCGCCTGGGGCGGGGCGGGGCGGGAGGCAGGAAGGGGCGCGCCTGGGAGCTGCCGCCCGCCGGGCCGCGACCAGGCCGCCTGCCTGCCTTCCTGGCTGGGCGGCTCGGGCATCGCAGGCTCGGCCCGCGCCCGTCGCCCGGGAGGAGGCGCGGAGGGCCGGGTCGGGCGGCTGGCGCACGTGTGGGGCGAGCGCCCTTCCGGCCCCCGGGCAGCGCTGCTCCGAGGAGCGTCCCGGCTGGCCCGGCGGCGGCGGCGGCTCACGGCCTCCCTGCTTTCCCCCGCAGCATGGCCGACTACCTGATCAGCGGCGGCACCGGCTACGTCCCGGAGGACGGGCTGACGGCGCAGCAGCTCTTCGCCATCGCCGACGGCCTCACCTACAAGTAAGCGGCGGCGGGGGAGCCTCGCCCCGGTCCCGCGCGGGCGCCTCCCGGGGGGGGAGGAGGGGGGGAGGGCGCGGCCGCCGGTGCCGGCGAGGGGCTGCAGCGCCACCGCGCCGGCCGCCTCCGGGGAGGCTCGCGGACACGGGCCGGCAGCTGCGGCTTCAGGCGGCGCTGTTCCCAGCCCCACCTGGAGGGGTGCTCGGGGCTGAGCTGGGGCGCCCGGGGGGCTGCAGCCCCCGGCCTGGGCCCCTCCCTCCTGGCTGCGGGGCGAGGGCCGCCGGGCCCCTGGCACGCCCCATGGCTTCTCTCCCTGGGAGTTGTCCAGCCCCACAGCCCCTGCCCCACTCTCGCCTCTCGTCCTGGAGGGGCTACAGGTGTGGCGGGGAGGCGCTGTGGGACCCCCTTGCCTTTCTGGCTCCCTTTGCCCTATTTTTCTTGCCTGGTGGAAAATGGGGGGCCGCAGGTCATCCTCGTGTGACCTCCAACTCATTCTGGGTGAGGCCGTGGAGCTTTCAAGCAGGGGGCGGCAGCGGTGCCCCCTGGCTCTCCCTCCACGACCCTTGGGTGGCTGGGAGCCGGCCACTGGTGGCCGCGTGGGCACTCTTTCCCCAGCGGATTCTGCTCGGCAATTCCGTGGTGCACCGGGTGCCCCTCGGAACAGGGAGCTCAGCCGCTGCCAGTCTTTCCCCGCGTATAATTTCAGATTTGCTTTTGTTCTATTGCTTCTTATTCCTCCCCTGGTCTAAAAAAGGCCCATCATTATAACCAGCCTTCCCCAAGCTTGAACCTTCTGGGTGAATTATGGGGCTTGTAGTCCAGCGCATTCAGAGGGCTCCTGCTTGGGAAAGACTGTTTAAGCCGTTTTCTTTATGGTGAAAGATGCGCCATTTCTTAAGCCAGATTGCGCGAAGTCATCTTTCTGCCGTTGTTGCCCGCATGCTTTTTGGGGCCGAAAGCATTTTGCTTGCTGAACGACCCAGCACGGCTTGCGAAGTTGGCAGTGCATCTCCTCTGTGAAACGGCAGCCGCAGGGCTGAGGCCAACCGAGGACTGGAGAGCGTGGCAGCTGGCGGGCCTTTCTCACCCCCAAGGTGGGGGCCTTCTGCGTGTAGAGCGATAGCCCCTTCCTCTTGGCAGCCCTCCAGGGTGATGTCTTGGGACGTATCCAGCTTTTGGGTACATCTGGCATGCTTTAATAGGTTTAAAATGCTTTCAGTTTGCAAAAAACGAAACCCTTAAACCCTGGCCCTAAATAATCAGGAAGGTTTTTAAGGGCGGTTTTCCTGATGCAAAATTTCCAAAACAGTGGCTGCTTCTGCCCCATGTGAAAGGGGAGGAAGGGAGCAGCTCGTTCTATGGTAAAAGTGATGCCCGCGGGGAGGTGCCGGGGGGCACAGGGTGCTGCTGCTGTGGCTTCGGAGAGGGGCTGTGTCCAGGGAGGTGCTGGCTGTCCCTGTGCTTGCAGCCCCTTGCTTGAGGGAAGGGGCGGAGGGAGGCCGGCTGCTGGCGGGGGGCCCTGGAGGAGAGGTTGCTGCCTCCCCCCCCCCCCGCAGGACCCTTCCCACCGAACTTGGCTGCTTGCATTTACGGCCGTTTGGGTGCTTGCCCTCCTTGGGCTCTGTGCAGCACCACGTGCAACTTCCTGGGAGCCCTTCCTCTGAGCAGCGCCCCCCACACCCACTTCCAAGGGCCCCTCTGTGGGCAGGCCTTGTGCCAAGATGGTGGCCCCTCTGGGCTGTGTGGGAGGACGCATGCGGGACCCGGAGGGCTGTGAGGGTGCCCTGCAGCACTCGCGGCCTGCCCTGGCTGCTCCCCGCCGCTGCCATGTGGGGCAGGGTCCAAGCTGCATGTGGGGGTCAGGGTGGGGGGGCTTCTGGAAAGAGGGGCTTGGCCGCGTGTCCTGACAGAGTCTGCTGGGGATGTGTGTGCGGGATGGGCATGCGCCCCTCCTCCTCCTGCTCCACATCATGCAACTTGTAAAGCGTCCGGAGCATCTAACAATGCACCAGCAACGCTTAAATAAGAGCCCAGCCCGGGGCTTCCCTTGCAGTTGTCCGTCACAGCGACAACAAGCGCCCGAAGCAGGTCAGGTTGATCACGGAGAAGCCGTCAGTCACGGCAACCCCACGCCGGTCCTTTCGCGGGAGCCGCACACGCCTTCCCTCGGCACGCAGGCGCCGGCTGGGCTCCCCGGCTCCCCCTCGGAGCGCCCGCGGGGGCCGGGGTGGGGTCGCCTCCCCGCCAGGCCTCTTCCCGCTGAGGCAGCAGCGGAGGCCCGCCCCAGCCGCATGCGGCCCCCTGCTCCACCGCCCGCCCGCCCCTCCGGAGGAGGGCTCCCAGCGCCCTCTAAGTCCCATTACGTGTGGCTGGTGCCCATGAATGCGGCTGGCCGTAAACAGCGCCTGCTGCCCCGCGCCGGCTCTTGTGCGCCCGAGCGGGGCCGGGCATGTGTGGCGGACTGGCTGGCTTGGCTCGCCCAGACGGTTGTGGCCCTGAGCCCCCTCCCCCCCGAGGCCTTCCCCTGGGCCCCATCCGTGTCCTTGGTCTCTTTGGAGAAGGGGCAGCTGTTTCCCAGGCACGGAGCCCCTTCCTGCCGAGCAGTGGCTTTGCTGGGTGAAGGGGCGGGAGGGCCACAGAGTTGCCACGGCAGGGTTTTGGCTACCTGGGCAACTCCCGGCCTGCCACGGACCCCCCCGGAAGCAGCTCGGCAGAGCCCAGCTCCCCTCCTTGCAGGTGCGATCTTGGGCCGGCCTGCCGCTTCTGCCAGCCTCACCGCTGAGCGTTCAGCCCCAGCTGCTTCTGCTCAACCCTTTTGGGGCCGTGGGCTTGGAGCGAGTGTGTGCCGTGGGGCAGAGAGTGCGTGGCAGGCCCTCCCCCCCCCGCGCATGCACGTGCACCCCAAGAGCTGCAGGTGGGGGCTGGGCCCAGGGCCAGCGTGAGCAGCAGCTCATTTCTGCTTGTGCGAGTCGCAGAGCGGGCGACGGCGCCTCTTTCTGTCTCCACAGCGACTTTCTGATCCTTCCGGGCTTCATCGACTTCACAGCAGACGAGGTGGTGAGTGCAGCCGGCGTGGCGTCCACCCGTTCACAGCCCCCACGGAGCCCGTCGGTCCAGCCGCTCTGGCAGGCGCCGCACGGCCTTCCAGCCCCGAGCTGCAGTCCAGGCGGGATGAGATGCAAGCAAGGGGGGGACTCTGCTGCTCTGGAGCGAGCGCCCTATGGGGCAGCGGGGCATCACTGCCCCGGTCAGCCTTTTCCTGGCACAGCGCCGGCCTCCGAATGCCCTGCCTTGGCACTGTGTGCGGAGCCGTGCCCAGAGGCGCGGGCGCTCTCCGCTTCGGCTGGCGTGCGCGTGTTGGCGCTCGGACTGTGTGCGTCGTGCCCGCGGCTGTGGGGGGCTGGCACGTGCCGCCCCCCTCTTCCGCGGTGGATGCTCGGTTGCCGCTGAGGGTGGAGGCGGTGCCCTTGGGCTGCGCTCCAGCCGGGGCTGCAGCTGCTCAGGCCTGACGCTCTTCTCCCTGCGCCCCCCCGCCCCCAGGACCTCACCTCAGCGCTGACCCGCAAGATCACGCTGAAGACGCCGCTCATCTCCTCCCCGATGGACACCGTCACGGAGTCGGACATGGCCATTGCGATGGCGGTGAGCAGCTGTGCGGGTTCCTTTCATCGCGCCTGTCCGGACTGGGACCGGGACCGGGACCGGGCCTCTTGCTGGTCCCAGTAGGAGCCCTGAGCAGGCGTTGGCCATCTCTGGAGGAGTCGCCTGGTGCCTCCGTGTCCAGCAGGACTAAGCCCAAGGCCTTTGAGGGGGTCCCTGCTGTGCATCATGCTGGGGAGCATGGGCCCACTGCTTCAGTGACTGGCCTGGTGGGGCTGAAGGAACCCCCCGCAGGTGCCCAGGGCCTGGCTGGACCTATCTGGGTTTGGGTGCCGCTGCCCCAGCTGAAGACTACTGTTGCCTTTTGGGCTGCGCCTGTGGTGATGGGGGTCGGCAGCCACTTTTGGCCCTGGGGAGAGGCCTGCCCCCGAATCGGATGGTCCGGCGACGTGCGAGGACCTCTGCCCTGGGGGATTCTGCTCATAAGGGTGGGCTAGAAATGAAGCGTGATCAGGGAAACCGCAGTAGAGCCAGTGCAGTGCCGGCGCCTTCTGCACTTTGCCGTGGGCCCGCGGCATTCTGGGCTGGCGGCCACTGGACATGGATGGGCTGGGTGGGGGTCCCCCTGCCCGCCCCGATGCCGCCGAGCTGTGCGGGTTTCGGCCCGCCTCCTGACCTCCGCTCCCACTTGCAGCTCATGGGTGGCATCGGGATCATCCACCACAACTGCACCCCCGAATTCCAGGCCAACGAGGTCCGTAAAGTCAAGGTACGTGGCTCTGCGGCATGTCCGTGGGTGGGGCTGCCGTGAGACTGCGTGGGGCGGAGAGCTGCCGGAGCACCCCGGAGGCCGCGGGAACAGCATGCCTCCTCTCCTCGTGGGCCCCACGTGGGCCTGTGGCCGAGATGTGGGGGAGCTTCGTGGCCTGGCATCTTGCGACTGGCTTCAGGAGGGCCCAAAGCGGCGACGTGGCTGGGCTGGTTGGCAGAGACTGGAGGAAGGAGCTGCCCGGAGGAGGGAAGGGCCGGAGGCGTTTCGGGCAGCGCTCGGGGCCTTGCGTGTGGCGTGTGGGTTGGAGGCGGCCGATGCGATTTCTGGGACAGGCGTGAGATGCATGGTGAGTCCCCGGAGCATCCCACACAGCTGCCGATCGGCAGCATCCCGGGGGCTGGGCGGGCTTCCAGGAGGACGTTGGTCAGCGTGGCTCGAGGGGCATGTGCAACGTGGGCTCCAGTGAAAGCTCCCCTTCCTCTTCCCCTTCCCCTTCCCCTTCCGCTTTTCTCCGCCACAGAAATTTGAGCAGGGCTTCATCACGGACCCCGTGGTGCTGAGCCCGACCCACACGGTGGGAGACGTGTTTGAGGCGAAGGTCCGGCACGGCTTCTCCGGCATCCCGGTCACCGAGACGGGCAAGATGGGCAGCAAGCTCGTGGGCATCGTCACCTCCCGCGACATCGACTTCCTCTCCGAGAAGGACTACGGCGTTCCGCTCAGCGAGGTGTGTGGGGGGGCTGCCGCCAGGCGCCCCCACCCTGGCTTCCTCAGGAGTGGCCGCCGTTCCCGTGGCCCCGGACAGTGGGCAGGCCCCTGCGTTGCGCCAGAAGCCCGGGAGGCCAGCCGCCGCCCCATTTGGATCGCCGGGCCGGGCTGGGCAGGGGGTGCAAGGAGACCCCCACCGGGCCTCCAGCCTTCCCTGCTCCCTCCCCTGCGCAGGTCATGACGAAGCGCAACGACCTCGTGGTGGCCCCGGCAGGCGTCACCCTGAAGGAGGCCAACGAGATCCTGCAGCGGAGCAAGAAAGGTACCGGCAGGGGCAGGAGCCGGAAACCAGAAGCCTCTCGGGCCGAGCCATTTGGGCACGTTGGAGGCCGAGCTCCGCTCGGGCTGGGGGTGCTGGGGCGTCCCGAGAGCGAGGGGTGCCTGGCCCCACAGCTCCTGGCTAGGCAAGGACAGTTCTCGGCCTGTTTGGCCCTGCAGGAGGTTCGGGTCCTTGGGATTCTTTGCTCGTGCTGATGTCACCCCCCAGGGACACCCCCTGCGCCATTGGCTTCTCGGGGGCTTTGCGGGTGCACAAGGCGGGCGCCTGTGCGTGCGGCTCCTGAAGCGAGGCCCTGGCACCCGGGGGTCTTCTGCCTCCGTGAGCCTTGTGGCCCTGCAAGATGGCTGCGGTTTTGGGTGCCCTCGCCGCAGAGTTGGGGGAGGGTTTCTCTCTGATGGTTGAAGAGGGGCAGGGCTGGAATGGGGAAGCACAGTGGGGCTGCAGAAGGGATGCAGGGGGTGCAGGCGGCCTTCCTGCCAGGCCTGTTCGCCCCCCGCTGCTCCCACAGTCCCTTGGCTGGCCGGACGATAGGCCGAGCACGGGGGGGGGGCCGCCTGAGCTGGCGCTTCTGCCCCCGTCCTGCCCCAGGGTGGCAGAGCGCAGGGTGAGCACCCCGCGGGCCGTGGCCTGGAGGGTGCCCCATGTCCTGTCCCCCACTGCCCCCAGGGAAGCTCCCCATCGTGAACGGGGTGGACGAGCTGGTGGCCATCATCGCCCGCACGGACCTCAAGAAGAACCGGGACTACCCGCTGGCCTCCAAGGACTCGCGCAAGCAGCTGCTGTGCGGGGCGGCCGTCGGCACCCGGGAGGACGACAAGTACCGGCTGGACCTGCTCATGCAGGCGGGCGTGGACGTGGTCGTGCTGGTGGGTCCCCCGGGGGCAGCGCTGTGGCAGGGGCGCGAATTCAGCCGCCCCCCTGAAGGGGACCTGCTGGGCGGCTGCACTCGGGGGGGCTGCGACTTGGGCCTGGTGGGAGGAGGCGGCGCTGGCCGTGCCGGCTGCCCCCCTGCTGCTCGGGGTGGCCCCCGCGGGGGCCTGGCGGCCAGCGTGTGGTTCGGGGAAGCGGGTGCTGGGATGGGGGTGCCGTCGCTCTGCAGCCCCACGCTGGGCTCTGCTCGTGACCCGCCCCTTCCTCTCGCCTGGGGGTGTCGCTGCCGCCATCCTGTCCTCAGGGGTCCCTCTCTCGCTCCCAAAAAAGGATTCATCTCAGGGAAACTCCGTGTATCAGATCAACATGATCCACTATATCAAGCAGAAGTACCCAGAGCTGCAGGTCATTGGAGGGAATGGTGAGCATCCGGTGGCCCCGCAGCGCCCCCCCCCCCCCGCCAGCTCCGCTTGCTTCGGCTGCAGTGCGGATGCTGGGCACCCAGCACCTCGGGAGCTTGCCACTGGAATGGATGCCGGGGGGCCCCGTCTCACGCAGCGGCAGCCCGTGGGAGCCCAGCCGGCCGGGGAAGGGGCCTCAGCGCCTCCGTCCACGTTCCTCAGCAACTGGAGGAACCCGGCAGGACTGGGCGCTGCCACTCGCTGCCTCCGCCTCTGCGGCTTTGTCCCGTTCCCAAACTGGCGGCCATCACTGGCAGCGAATTCCCTCGTCTGACTGTGGCATGTGAAGGGGGCTCCTTTGATCCGCCCAGGGTCTCTCTGCCTGTCGGCTCCGTGGGGGGCTCCCTGGGTTCCGGCTCCGCTTGCCCAACGCGGAGGTGGCTCCCTGGAGTCGTCCCGCCAGTGACCGCCCTGGCCAGCCCCTGCTCGCTGCCTCCTCGGCTGTGGCGGCTGCTCCCTCTGCGCCGCTGGCCGCGGGATCCGGAGCAGAGGACCGGGGGTTGCCCGGGGGTGCGGCGAGGGGTGCGGGCCGTGGCTGCGCAGCCGGGCCAGCGAGCCTCCGCTGCCGGGAGCCGGGCCAGCACGCTGGCCGGGTGTTTGATGCGTGCCCTTGTTTCCCCGCTGTTGGATGCACAGTGGTGACAGCCGCCCAGGCCAAGAACCTCATCGACGCCGGCGTGGATGCGCTGCGCGTGGGCATGGGCTGCGGCTCCATCTGCATCACGCAGGAAGGTGAGCCGGGGAGCGGGGCGGCCCAGGAGCAGGGGCCGGACTGGGCGTCCTGGTCCCGGGGTAAGGAGCCCTCCGGGGCTCGGCAGAAGCTGTGCGGCAGATTGGGAGGTGTGGTGTGACGGGGCCGGAGCCGGAGCCCGCCTGCCAGCCCATCCCCGAGCGCTGCCCATGACACGAGATCAAATGCGGACTGGCACCCGCCTGCCCTTCCGCACCTCCGCTTTCCTGGCTGGCTGCCGCCGGAGCAGCCGGCCCTTCCGCTGCCGCTCTCGCCCTCGTCCGGCCCCGGGCAGGGCGGCCTCGTCCGGCCTGGGCGCCTGCAGGCTGGGGCTGCTCCGGCCCAGGTGGCACTGATCTCACGCCGCTCGTCCTGGGCTCCTTGCGGTTCGGGAGTCTGCCCTGCCCCTCCAGCCTCCACGGGGCTGGGGCAAGGGGCCGGATGCCGGGGCAGCATGCGAGTCCTTCGCTTCGGCGCTCGCAAGAAGAGCCAGGCACAGGAGGGGTGGGTGCATGGGTGGGCTTGGCGCACCGGCACGGGTCCGTTCTGGGTGCAGGGGGGTCTGGGCACAAGGTCCCCACCCCAGGAGCGCCTTCTTGGTGATGGGAGAGAGCCTGGGGGCTCACCTCTCATGCTGGCTCCCGGGGATCCTGCCTGCAGGAAAAACGGTTGAGAGGGTCCGACGAGGGGTTCTGTGCAGGGCAGAGGGCCACCCGCCTCTGCCCGGGAGCCTCGGCCCGCCTGCCTCCTCGCCCGTCTGTGGCTCTGCAGCTGGCCGATCCCGGCCTGCCCGTGCATGTCGGGCCCTTTCCATACCGCCGGCGGCCGAAAGGCACCGGGTGCCCGGGGCTCCCCTGCCCCGCGGTGACCGCGTACTCTCCGGCAGTGATGGCGTGCGGCCGGCCCCAGGGCACGGCGGTGTACAAGGTGGCGGAGTACGCGCGCAGGTTCGGCGTGCCCGTGATTGCTGACGGCGGCATCCAGACAGTGGGCCACGTGGTCAAGGCGCTCTCCCTGGGGGCCTCCACAGGTGAGCGGGAGCGGGGACACCCGGCAGGTGGAGCGTTTGTCTTTCACGGGGGAGCAGCGGTAGGGGGAGCCCTGAGGAGCCCGCTCTGCTGCGTCCAGGCTGCCGGCATGGAAGAACGGCTGTCGGGCCGTGAGTGCCCCGATCCGGGCACCAGCCCCCACTCGGCTGGGAAGCTCCCCGGCAACTCTGGCCAGCCCCACGGTTTCAGCCAGGGCTGCCCCAGAACTGCCGCCAGGGTCCCGTGGGGCGGAGAAGGCCTCGGTGGGCCGCTCCGGTCCCGCTCAGGAGGGGATGAGGCGGCTGTCGATGCAGCCTCCTGCTGCCCCCCTGGGCCTGCTGCGACCCCCTCTTTCCTCTCTGGGGAAAGCCCAGCTTTAGTGGGACTGCCCCCCCACTGAGCAGGTCTCCCTGCAGGAGGCCCGCCAGCCCTTTGCTGCTGCTCGCAGCAAGGTGGGTCTGTTCCTGGACGCACGCGCTTCCCTGCCTGCCTGCCTGCCCCACAGCAGTCCTGGGGCAGGCACGGCCGAGGGGCCCGTGGTGGTGCACGGAGAGCTGCTGGGCTGGGGGAGGAGTGGACCTGCCCCCCCCCCCGCGTTCTCGCCTGGCTGCTGCTGGTGCTGAGCGTCAGGGCACCCAGCTGGGTAAGGGGCCCCACTGCGGGTGGGTGGGGGGGCAGCAATCTCCGTGGGCATCCAGCTTTCCACGGATAACCTCTTCCTCACCCCCCCACCCAGTCATGATGGGCTCCTTGCTGGCTGCCACCACGGAGGCTCCGGGTGAGTACTTCTTCTCCGATGGAGTCCGGCTGAAGAAGTACCGGGGAATGGGCTCGCTCGACGCCATGGAGAAAAGCAGCAGCAGCCAGAAGCGCTACTTCAGGTGGGGCCGGCGGGGGATCCTGAGGGGGAGCCGCTTCCTGCGGAGGGGCAGAGGCCCAGAGCGGGCTCTTGCGGCTCCTCAGCCCAGCACCCTGCCGCCGTGTGGGGTGCTGGGCGCGTCAGGCACCCAGCACCGCCTCCGGCTTGCCTTCCAGTGAGGGGGACAAGGTCAAGGTGGCCCAGGGCGTCTCGGGCTCCATCCAGGACAAGGGCTCCATCCAGAAGTTCGTGCCCTACCTGATTGCTGGCATCCAGCACGGCTGCCAGGACATCGGTGCCAAGAGCCTGTCCATCCTGCGGTGAGTAGACCCACCGGCGGCCCCGCTCCCCGCGCACCCCTGCAGCATTCCGTGGGCCACCTGGCTGTGCTGGGGGGGGCCGCCTCTGGTTCGAAGATGTGCGCGGGTGGGCAGCCCCCATCCAGAGCTTGTTTCGGGGCCGTGGATTGCCCTGGTGCGGGGCAGGAGACGCCCCCCCCGCCCCATGCCCGCGGCAGGGAGACGAGCGCTTTCCGGCTGGCTGCCCCGGGGCCTTGCCCACGGGCGGAGCATTCTGGGAGTCTTGCTGATGGTGTGTGGAAGGCAGGCGGGGGGGTGAGTGTGTGTGTGTGGGGGAAGCACCCTCAGCCTTTTCTTCGTTGCGCCAGGTGGCGTCCCTTGTGTGGCTCAGACGCATCTCGCAAGATAGGCGGACGTGGCTCGGTGCCACGCGGTCGCGAGGGGGTGGGGCTGGGGAAGGGGAGGCAGGTGGCCATGCGCTTTCCGCTCTTGCCTTCCCCACCGCTCGTTCCACAGCCGTGCGGAGGATCTTTTTCCGTTCGTAAAAAGACCTTTCCTGCCCGGAGCCCCGATCCAGGAGCGCGTGGCTGCACGGTTTCTTCCGTGGGTGTTTCTTAGTCCTGGGGGGCGGGGGCCTGCTGCTGTGGGGCGCCGCCTTTTCCTCTGGCCGGGCTGCTTGTGCAGGCCAAGCTGCCCTCGGGCAGGAAAACGAGCGTGGCACCGGCGGCCCAGGTCGCCCCCCCCCCCGCAGCCCCCTCGGGCCATCCTTCCTGTGGCCTTTCAGACTCGGGGCGGTTGTGGTGAGCAGGGAATCCCTGTCCCCCCGGGAGGGCGGCAGCCCCGTCCCACCCGTCCGTAAACGGGAGCGTGTTGCAAGGACGTCAGCCGTGGGGTGGGTGGCAGCAGCCAGTCGGGGCCATAGAGGTTCCCGGAGTTGTGGCAAGAGGCACTTGGGGGCGGGAGGGCCCCGAGCGGAGCGTGGCCATTTGGAACGGGCACCGGTGGCCGTGGAGAGCCAGTGGTCAGGGGAGAGGGCGGGCGCAGCGGAGCGTGGCCTCCGGGTGCCGAGCGAGGAAGGGACCCAAGCCCCCTGCTTTCTCCTGCCAGCTCCATGATGTACTCGGGGGAACTGAAGTTTGAGAAGCGGACGATGTCGGCCCAGATCGAGGGGGGCGTCCACGGCCTCCACTCGTGAGTATCTGACCGGCCCCTGCTGCCCCGCAGCCGCCCCCGCCCCTGCCCTCTTGTCCTCAAGGCTCTTGTCTAGGGAGAGAAAGAGAAGGGCGGCCGAGCCGAGCCGGGCGATCGCTGGCGGGCCCTGGCTCTGGCGTGGAGCATTTCCCGTGAGCATGGCCCGTGGGGTGGCCGCATGGGCACGTGGCTGATGGAGTGAAGCCCGTGCCCCCTCTCTGGGGGAGAGCCCGGCTCTGACTGGCGGGGGCTCGTTTGGGCCGCTCTGTCGTGGGTCGATCCATCCACGCCCCTGTGGCTGCACTTCTGGGGAGTCCAGCGATGCTTTCCGAACATCTGGCTGGATGCAGGCTCCTTCCAGACGCGAGGTTTCCAAGGGGCTTGACGATCCTGTGGGGCCGGGAATGGTAGCGCGTGGCCGGTCTCGAGACCGCAAGGCGCCTCTTGCTCACAGGACAGGCGCAGGGATTCTGGCCTGGAGCTGCTCCGGCGCCAGGATCGTGCCTTGTCGGGGTGGGAAGGAGCAGGTTGCCCCATTCAGTTCAAACATTGTGCATGCGAGCACACGAAGTGGTGCGCAGGCACATGGCAGCGAAGGGCGCGTGTGTGGCAGGCCAGCGAGGCGGTTGGGCGGGAGGGAGGGAGGGAGGGGGAGACCCGGCTGGCGGGTGGCGTGAGGGCAGCGGCACGGCCGTGTGGCCTCGTGCTCGGCCTGGGGCGCCGGCCTGCTCTGCGCGGCCATTTGGAGAGGAGGTCGGCACAGGCACCGCCCGCTCTGCGCCTCAGGAACGTGCCATCCCGGGCCCCCCGGAGCTCCCGGCTGGGGGGGCGCCGCCAGTGAGCTGCCCGGGGGCGGCATGTGGCGAGCTGGTCACAGCGCAGCAGGCGGAAGGGCGAGAGCGCCCGCTGCCCCGGGCAGGAGCCTGGCACCCGGGCAGGGGCAGGGAGTGGTCTTGTGAGGGTGGCACAGGGGAGCTGGGGGGCACTGTGGCTTCTCCTGGATTCCTGCCCCTGCCAGACCGTGCGGGGGTCCTTTGGGATCTTCTGCTCGAAGCCCAGAAAGAGCTCGAGGCGCCCCCCCCGCCCCCACAGCTGCTTTTTGCCCTCGCCTCTGCGGTCGGCGCAAGGCTGCAGCCGGGCCCTTGACCCCCTGGCTTTTGCGGCTGGGGGGCACCCGGCCCAGCAGCCTGGCAGCCGCGCGGCATGCGTGGGGAGAGGGCGCTGGGCGAGGCCCCCAAGCAGCGGAACAGGAGCAGGTGGCCCTGGGTGTTGCCAAAGCGAGAGGCGTGTACGTTGGGGGGGGGTCTCCCAGTGAAGCCCTCCCCACGACAGAAGGTGGGGGGGCAGGAGCGTTGCTGTGCCCCCCTTCGGATCGGCCTGCAGGCAGCCCGGGCCAGATGTACAGGTGGCTCTTCTGCGTTTGGGGGCGGCGATGCCAGGCTCTGGGGGGAGTTTTGGGGGAGCATGCCTGCAGCCAGGCGTGGGGTCGGGGAGCTCCGGGCGCCTGCCCCGGGTGAGAGTGCCGGAAAGTCCCTTCCGGGGCACAGCGTGCCTTGTGCGCCTCCGGCAGGCGGACCGCCGCAGCGCCAGGGCCGTGGGGGGCAAGCCGGAGCCGCTTCGAGGCCTCAATGGGTCCACTCCTGGCCGCTTCCAGAGTGGCCATGGGCCATGCTCCTCGCCCTGCAGGCCGTGTCCAGGCTTAGCGAGCGTCGCCCCTTGCCAGAGCGGCTGCCTGTGACGGGGCTGGAAAGGGGGTGCGAGGTGTGGGGGTGCCCCTTCCCGGCAGCTGCAGGGCCAGGGGTGACCTGGACGGACGGGGAAGCCGCTTGGGCAGTCGGGGGCGGTGGGGGGGCCCTGCGCTGGCCTGGCTGCCTCGCCCCCTCCCCCCGCCCGGATCCGTGCCTCTGCCCCACCCCCCAGGTTCTCCCCACAGCGCTGCCCCCAACCCGAGCGGGGGGAGGTCAAGGGGCACGTCGCATCTTGCCTGAGCGTGGCGTGCTCAGCGAGCAGCCGTGGGGTGCCTCCAGCCACCGCAGCCGGGGCCCCGCCTCTGCCAGCCCTGCCGAGCGGGGTCTCGGGGAGCGGGTGCCCGGCCCGCCTCTTGGCACTCCTGGCCCGGCCCCGGGGCCCCGGTTCCCGCAGGACTGGCTGCCGGGCTCTTGGGACGGGCCTGGCACCGTTTGCAGCCGGGGGCAGCGGGGAAGGGGCCGCCTCCCTCGGCCGGCTCTGTCTGGACTGGCGGCTGCTGGAGTGTGGGGCAGGCGGAACCGTGTCCCGGGGTGACTCTGAGCACCTCACCCGGAAGGAAGCAGGCTCCAGACGTCCCGCCCCGCCTCCCCCCCGCCCCTGTGAGCGGGCCTCTCCCTTCCCAGGCCGAGTATATTTGGGTGCTGGAGATGCCCAGGCCCTGCCTTGGGGGAGGGGGCATTCTGTCTTGGCGGCCCCTCGCTTCCCTCAGTCTCTGGGGCCCCAGAGAGGGGCTCCGAGGTGCTGCTTTTTGGAGGGTGCCCGTGAGGGAAGCGTGGGGGGCTGGGCGGAGCTCCCCGTTCCCTCAGGTCTCGCCCCACGCGTGGCTGCTGCTTCTCCTGGGGTGGGTCGGGACGCCCGGGCGAGGGGGCCGGCGCGTGGCGGGCAGTGTGGCTCGGAGGCTTGGCTGGGGTGCTGGAGCTGGTGCTGGTGCTGGAGCTTTCCTGAGGCCCAGGGGCGCCCCAGGTGTGGCGGTGGTGGGCAGGGCAGGTGCGCAGGTGGAGGTGCTGCCGCTGGCGGGCGCCCGCCAGGCGGGGCGAGGCGAGGCGAGGCGCCTCCTGGGCAGGAGCACATTGACCGTGTCACCTTCTCTCTCTCTCCTGCCCGCGCCTCGGCCTTCCTGTAGCTTTACGTTTCTGCCATGTAAGTAACTGGAACCCGGAAACCCGTCCCGTCCCCCCATGCGTTGGATGTGGGCCAGCGGCTCTCCTCCCCCCTCCCCCACAGTGGGGTGGGCGCCCGGTCAGCAGCACCGGCGTCCCTCGTGCATCCCTGCCTCGGCTTCCCATGCGGCACGTGGCGCAAGCCCCCCCATCTCCGGTGCCGGAGGGTCCGCGGGGGCAGAGTGCAAGGATGCGGGGCAGGGGACCTTGCTCCGGCCCTCGGAGGGCGCGCTCTGCTGCCCTTCCTTGGGCCACCCCAGGCGCTGGAGGCGTTGCACAGGGGGGATCCGTGCCTGCGAGAGACGCTCTGCCCCCTCCGCCGGGGGCCCCCCCAGAGCTGTGCCTTCCGGGCTGGGCGGGGCTGGCCGCCAGCCTGCTCTTCGCCTGGGTCCAGGCCCTGCTGCAGAGCCGGCGAGGGGCCGAGGCCGAGGGCGTGGGGAAGGCCGGAAGGGCCTGCGGCAAGCCCTGGCCCAGAGAGGGGGCATAGCTGCGTGGGCCTGTGGGGCAACACATCGCCGCCCGAGCCCCTCCAGCAGGCCGGCCGGGGCAGGCCGGAAGGGCGCATGGAGGCCACGCATGCCAGGCTGGCTCCTGCGCCCGCACCCAGAAAGCCCCCTGTCCCCGACCGGCCTCCTGTCAGGGTCAGCGTTGTAGTTGCGATCTGGCAGTCGCTGCCTTGCCTTTGGGGAGATGCCCCCCTGCGTGCCTCTGAGACCCCCAGAAGCGGGCTTCTCTCCTTGGGGAGCCCGGTGCTCCGTGCGGGAGGCCAGGGCCCGCCGCCCTCATCCCCTGCCGCAATGGTGCGGCTTGCGTGCCGCCCGGGTATGCCAGGGCTCTGGATCCTCCGCCAGGAGAGGCGTGGCAGAGCCGTGGCTGGGGGTTGCTCCCCAAATCTTGCCTGAGGGGCTTGCTGCAGAAGGCAGTCTGGGGCTGCTTGCCTCAGTTTCCCCTGTGGAAAGCCCCCCGGTCTGGGGAGAGGGAGCAGCTGCACCTGCCCCTGCACCTGGCAGGCAGGCGGGAGCGGAAAAGCCGGCTTGGCTTGTGTGTCCAGAGACTGGCGTGGCGTCCCAACCCAGGGGGCTGCAGAGGTTGCGCCCCTCCCCTCATGGCAGGCACCGGGTGTGAAAAGCTGCCCGGGTCTCCCTGAACAGCCCCCGTGCCACGGCTCGGGTTTGCCTCCTGCCCTTACGTGGGGCTCTTCGTGGACGTGGTGCGCCCTGCACGCCATGGCCCTCGGGGTCCCAGGTGGCTGCTCCCTCATGGCCGCCCCCATGAACGTCCTCTGCCTTTCAGCCACCCCCGGCAGCACGGGGGGCAGAAGGTGGCCAGGGTGCCTCCCCGGGGGCCTTCCCTGCTCTGGGCTCCGGGCAGCTGTGCCGGGCACTGACCCCCCCGCCTTCCCTCTTCTCCCGCAGTTACGAGAAGCGGCTGTACTGAGGACGGCTTCCGGAGCAGCAGCCAGCGGTCTGGGCCCAGCATCCCCGTGCCCAGCGCTGCCGCCAGTGCCCGCTGCCACCACCCCTGACCGGCAGGCTGAGCCGCACAGGCCTCCCTGGCGGGCAGCCGAGACTTGCACTACGGACCACCCCACCGGGGCGCGGGGCCCCCCCGCCCCAGTGGGCAGGACTTGCTGGGGTCCTGACGGAACTCTCGGGGGAGGGAGTGTCTCGGGGGGACACGGGAGCCCCCGTGGCCGTTCCCTGGTGGCCGGCTCTCCTTTCCGCAGGGAGGGGCCCGGGGCCTCCCAGTGGCCATGCCTTCCCCCTGCTTTTCTCCCCGCCCCGGCCTCTTCCCCTGCGCCCCCGATTTCCCACAGCGGGGTGGGGGGGCCCTCTCCATCCCGGCAGTGTGTGTGGAGCAGGGGAGGGGCACCCCGCCCTGCTGCCCCGCACAGCCTGTTTCCTGGGGGCCCTCCCAGGTGGGGCTCTGCGCTGTCTCAGGTCTGCTCCGGCCGCCCGGCTGGCGCATCAGAGCTCTCTGTGCAGGGCAGGGGCTGCCAGCCCCGCCAGCGCCGCCCTCGTGGGGGCCACCGCCTCTGCCCGCCGCTTCGGGCCCTCTCGGACTGGCCATGGGCCACGGAGCTCCAGGGTGCGGGGCGCGTCTCCTCTGCCTGGGAGCCCGGCCAGTGCCAGGGCTGGCCACCCAGGCCGGAGACCGAGAGGCTGCCCCGGCCCTCCAGCCAGGCTCCTAAGATGCAGCTCTCTCCAGCCCACCCCCTCCCCTCCCCTCCCCCCCCCGGCCCACGACCCCCGCGCATGTTGGGCCCCACATGGTGGTGCTGCGTAGTCTTGCCTAATAAAGCTGCAGAGCATAAGCAAGAGGGTTGTGCATCTGGTCTCCTGTTGCGCCAGGTCCGGGTGAGGGGAGCCCCCCCGGGAAGGTGATGCTGTGGGGGGTCGTTCCCGCCTCTCCAGCCACTGCTTGCCACTCTCCAGCCAGCCTTCCCCCCCAGGGTGGCCCATGGCAGGGGAGGGCGTGCCCGCCTCTCCAGGTGCCTGCAGCAGCCCCCCCCCCCACGCACAGCCCCCTCCTGCCGGAGCAGCCGAGATGGCCCCTCCACGGTGGGGGGGGCGGGGGGCAGGCCACCTTGAGCTGGTAGTTGGAGCAAGGAGCTGCCCAGGCTCAGCTTGGCTGGACCCGGGAAGGGGCTGGCGGCTCTGGGGAGCACCTGGCGCTGCCTGGACTACCGCCCCCTGCCCCCGGTTTCTTTCCAGCCAGGGAATGGTTGGGCACTGCAGCCCTGAATCAAGCCTGGGCCGGGATGCGCCTGGGCCAGCTGCCTGCCTGCCGGGCCGTCCCAGGGCCACTGCCCGGTCCGTCGGCGCACGAGGCCTCGGCCTGCGCTGGCGCCCTCCCCTCGCGTGGAGCAGTGGGCGGTTGCCGCTCCACTTGGCGCCTCTTGTGAGGTGGGGCGGGCCACGCAATCCTGCAGCAGAATAAATTCAGGCTCCTTTCAGGTGCTGCAAGGCTCCGCGTTTTGATTTTTCTCTGAAATGTTTGTGCTTCGCACAAGCCCCAAGCCGGTGGATCTTGCAGGTTAGGACAAAGCACACAACCCAGTGCGGATCCGACAACCAGCTGATGTTTGTTTCACGTGTAGCTCAGGGCTAAACGGTTACAGAGAAAGCAGCAATGGGCACGAGGTGGGGGGGGCAGAGGAGCAGACCACGAGGAAGGCGAGAGGGAATGGGGCAGTGGGGCTCAGCCGTGTCTCCGCCAGAGGGAGAGAAGTGCGGGTCGTCCTGTCCCGTTTCCTCCAAGGGCAGCTATGGCGCCGGCATCCGTGCGTGCCTCTGCTTGTGCAGGCCGTTCCCACAGTGGCCATCGGGCAAAGCACAGGCCAGGCGCTCACCTCCGTGGGCACTTGGCCAGGGAGAGGGTCCATGCTCCGGAGGGGCAGGAGGCGGAGGCGCCCCCTCCCCCAGGGCTCGGCACATGCCACATCTTCCGAGGCCGCTTCCAGGGCCCCTCCAAGTCCGTCACCTTCGGGGGCTCCCTGCCCGCCTAGTCAGGGCTGGGACGGGGCAGCTCACGGGCCGCGCCTGTCCAGTGCTGGTGGCCCCTCCAGGGCACCTGTGGGGGGGCTGTGTGGCTCCTCGCATGCACCACTCAGTGCGCGCAGGCGGCTTTCTGGGGGAAGCAGGTGCGCCCCAGCTCGCCCTGTGGGTGGCGCTGGCTGCTGCTCCGGGACCCTCTGCCGAGGTTGGCCTCGGAGTCCCTTGGAGGCATCCGGCTCTTGCTGGCGCCAGCTCCTCCGACTGGCGAGCGGCTGGCTTGGCCCTTCCCATCCTCGGGATGACGGCGTGTGGGGCGCGGGACGCGGCGGCCCCGGCTTGCAGGGGGACTGCCGCCACTTGCCATCCCCGCTGGCGTCAAGCGGCAGGGCGGCCTCCACCAGGGCCTGGCCGCGCTGGAGCCGGGGCACTGCTTCGGCTCCTGAGGCGGAAGAGTTTTGCGCAGCCCGGCAAAAGGCCGCAGCCCGCAGCAAGTGACCGGCCGCCCCTCTGCCGCACCCGGGCGCAGCTGGTAGCCCCGTGGCGAGAGCTGGCCCCATCTGGCTGCGGCGGGGAGCCGTCTCCGGCTGCACTCCTCGCGCACTAGAGCTTGGCCCACGGCCGGTGGGGCTCCAGGTCCAGGCGCCGCAGGAAGGTCGCCACGGCCCGGGCATAGTCCTGCGGGTGGAGGCGCAGGTGCCCCGCGTGGTGGGAGACCGGCCACTCCTGCACCTGCGCGTGGATGCCGGCCGCCCGCCAGGCGCCCAGGAGCGCCTGCACCGTGCCGGCGTCGCTGAGCGGGTCGTTGTGGCAGTGGAAGACCAGCACGGGGCAGCGGAGGGGCGGCCGGTGGAACACCTCCAGCGCGGCCTCGAAGTGCACCACGGTGCACCTGCGGAACAGGCGGAAGTACAGCAGGACCCCTCTGCGGATGAGTGGGCGGAGGGCGACGGAGCCGGCCATCCTGGCCACACCTGCAGGGGGGAGCAGGGCAGCTCTGGGCACACGGCTCGGGGCTGCCCCAGATCCAGCGTGGAGCATCTGCCAGCGCCGGGGCAGCCGGTTGTGCCAAGCGAGAGCCGCGCCTCCGGCCCCTCCTGGCAGGCCGGCCACAGGCTGCCCGTGCCGGGACAGCTCCCCGGGCTGCAGGCCCTCCGTGGGGATGCAGGGAGGCTAGCTCCACTCGGCGGGGCAACGGCTTGCCCGGTGTCCGCCCTGCAGGCACAGCGCAGGACGGGGAGAGCCGCAGGCAGGGCGGGGGGTCGGTTCCATTCAGGCAGCCACAGCCTCTGGCTCTGCAGGGGCCCAGCGGCGTGCCAGGACTGGCCCCTGTGGGGCGCACCTGCTTCATTCGTGAGGCTGCCACGGGCCAGGGCCACGGGGTGACGCAGCCGAGGCTCACCAGGGCTGGGGAGGAGGGGCAGGCCAGAGGCCCTCCTGCCTGCGGCATGTCTGGGGAGCCTCCGGCAGCAGGGTGGTGGCCGGGGAACGAGGGCGTGAGGGGGCTGTGGCCCACCCGTCCGGTCCATGGGCTTCCCACCAGGCGTCTGGTGGCCACTGCGGGGACGAGGCCTCGCTCTGTGGGCCTCGGTCTGATTCCCCCCCCCCCCCGGGGCACGACTGGCAGAGCATTTCTGCAGACAGTCGCCGCCACCTTCCCCTTCCAGTTGCCCCGCAGGGAAAGGGAAGAGGCGGCCTGCCCGGGTGGGTAAGGACGGACGCGGGGTGGGTGCTGCGGGCTCGATGGCCCGGAGGGACAGGAGCCGCCTGGGAAGGTGGGCAAGCAGCACCGGGCACCTCCATCGGCAGCAGCGGGGCCAGGCCCCCTCGGCCCATGCGCCCCAGCAACACGCTCCACCAACGCAGGCCAGCATGGCGGGGTGTGGAGAGCTCCACCAGGAAGGTGCCAGCCCCACTGGAGCCACTCAGGTGGGGGCGCCCCTACTTCCCGTGGCCACGAATGCCGCAGTTTGAGGGGTGTCCCTCCTTGGCTAGCGAGGGGGGGCAGGAGCCACCGGCAGAGCAGAGGGGCCCCACACGCCTGCACGCGCGCTCCCCTCCCCGTCGGCACGGCAGGCACCAACTGCCACTCACCCCTCGCCATGTCCGCCAGGCTGCCGGCCACCAGGCTGTCGTAGATCAGGCCGCGGATGCGCCCCTGCAGGCCGGCGAGCCGCTCGGGCCGCTGCTCCAGCTGCACCATCATCTGGGCGAAGGTGTAGCCCCCGATGGAGCAGGCGTGGATGAGCAGGGGCCCGCCTCCCAGGGCCTCCCCCTCCGCCAGCAGCGCCAGCACCCGGGCCGCGTAGGCGAGCCCCCACCGAGGCCACAGGAAGTGGGCCAGGCGGCTCTCGGCCACCAGCACGGGCCAGCCGCGCTCCAGGTAGAGGGCCAGGTACTTGGCCAAGGCGCGAGGCTCGGCGCCCAGCCAGGGCAGCAGCAGGACCAGTGGCCGGGGGCCGGGGGGCGGCCCGGGGGGGCGGTACAGGCGGACGGTGCGGGAAATGGTCACCACGGCCACGCCGGGGGCTGGGAAGGCAGGGCTAGCACAGGCAGGATCGGGACGGGGCTCCGGGCTGGCAGCGTGCATCTCCTCGGGGCGGGGGCTCTCCAGGGCTGCAGGACTGGTGGGCGCCCAGACAGCGAGCACCCAATCCCTGGAGGTGCTCAGAGGCTGTTCGCTTCAGTCCTGAAAGAAAGGCAAGGGGGGGCAATGTGGTGGGAGGGGTGCCCCGTCTGCTGTGCTGCCGCCGCCTCGGCCCCTGCTCCAAGGCTGTGCTTGCTGCCCCAGGAAACCGGGGGTGGGGGTGTCTACTGATCAGACAGCAACTCGTCCCGCTTGCCGTTCCCCCCGAAGAGCCTCTCTGCCCGAGAGGGGCCCAGAGAGCCCCCCAGTGTCAGGAGCCCCGGAGCAGGGCGTGGGCCCAGCGCACCCCACAGCTGCCAGCCGGGGCCCCTGCCTCAGCACCAAAGGACCGTGGGCTCTGCATCCTGCTCTTCCACAAATTGCCCAAGCCCCCTTCAAGACCCGCACTCCAGTCCCCACACAGCCAGGACGTTTGGAGCCAGTCAGATTATTCTCAGCATGGCCTACCTCACAGGGTTGGTGTTGTGAGGACGAAAGGAAGAAGGGGGGACCCTGCTTGGCCACCTTGGGTTCCTTTAGAGAAGGGGTCTCAAACTCAACTTACCTGGGGGCCGCTGGAAGTAGAGTCTGGGTGAGGCTGGGCCGCATCAAGTATTCCACCACCGCAGTGGTGGTGGGCCGCTCATCCAGAGGCCGGCCCGGGCGCCGCTGGCACTTTGAAGGCCGCAGGGCCCCTCCCCCGTGCCCCGCCCATCCTGGCAATTGGCCCGCGGGCCGCGAGTTTGAGACCCCTGCTTTAAAGGAAAGGTCCGGTATGAACGTGATGTAATGATCTGCTTTGATTTATTGAAATACTGACACCGGTCCTTTGGACCAGGGACCTGCAAAGCTGCTCCCAACAGAAAGTGAGGGGTCTGGGGCTACCAATGCAGAATGATGTCACGCCACCCAAACGCCACGCAGAGGAGCCCAGGGAGGCACCGACACGCCCAGAAAGCGACCGGGGCAGCAGCGGCCGGCACGGCGACCACACGCAGCGCTTGGGCAGACCCTGGAGGCGCCCAGCTCGGAACGGGGCCTGGAAGCCCCTGGGAGCAAGCACCTGGGCAGGGAGGGAGGCGCGTATGGGGGGTGCTAGCAGGCAGCCCCTCCCCTGGGCACGCGGCACCCCTGCCCCCCCATGGTCGCGTGGGCAGGCTCAGCCCCTCGACAGACCAGCGCGCCTCCCCTGCCAGCGTCAGCCTGCTCTGGCCGCCTGCCCCGTGCTGAGGGTGCCTCCTCCTCCTCCTCCTCGCAGCTCCGCGCGCAGCGAGCGCGACCCGTTCAAAGCGCAGTTTGCACAGAGCGGTCTGACGTGCATCCTCACCAGAGCGGCTTTCCGAGCAAGCCGCCCAGCAGGGAAGGGACGACGAGGTTGCCCTCCCCACCGAGGGGCTTGAGGCTTGCGCGGCAAGCAAGGAGCAGCGGCTGCGCACCTCGCCGGCCCGCAGCACGCAGCGCTTCCGCGCATCTGCCCAGGCACGGCACCGCTCCGCGCCCCGGGCCTGCCGCTGCCCCGGTCTTGGGTCGAGGCAGGGGTCCGAGGAACTGGCCCCGCAGCGGGAAGCGGAAGGCCCCCCGCTCCTCCCCGAGGCTTCCTCCCGCACGTGGGGGGGGGGGGGGCGTCTACCTGATCCGCCGGCCAGCGGTCTTCCTCACTCGGCGGGCGCGAGGGACAGCCAGGCGGCAGCGCCACGGGGCGCGCGTCCACCCCCGCGCCGGCCACAGGGCGCTCCGGCCACGCTCAGCGCGCCTCGCGCCCGCGTGCGCGCCCCTCGACCTTCCGGATCCGGGGCAGCTCCCGCGCCCCCCCCCCCCGAGACAGCCCCCGCGGGCGTGGGAAGCCTGTCGGGGGCTCTCCGGGCTCGCCGCGGGGGCGCGGCAGCTGCACGGAGGTCGAGACGAGGAGTCCCGCCGCCCTGCCCTGCCCGCCCCCGGCGCTCTCCACGGTCTCCGCGGCCCCGCCAAGAGCGCGCCAAGTGCCAGACGGAGCGCTCCAGCCTCGGCCTGGGCTCGGCTCCCGGTGGCGCTCGGCGCGAGCACGAGAGGTGGACGCGCGTTGCGTAACGGCGGCGGGAGGCCGCGAGCTCCGTGCGCGTGATCCGCCCGAGCCCAGGCCCGGAACTAGAGCGGCGCCGCCCGGCGGGGGCGCGGAGTTCCACGCGCTGGCGGGAGGAGGGCCTGGGCCGAGGAAGAGGAGCCCGGAGGACTGCGAAGGAGAAGAGGGGGGAAGGGGCGGCGGGATGCCGGAGCGGCACCGGGCAACGTGGGCGGGGGCAGGACAGGCGCTGGCGAGGCGGGGCGCTCCGCTGCCCCCTTGCCCGCCCTGCAGCTTCTGGCCTCGCCTCCCTCGGTGCGCGGACTCGCGGTGTTTCCCGCAGGCCCCCAAACGCCCCCTCCGGGGGGACGCAGGGCAGCTGGCCGGGCGCCCCGCGCTGCGCACGCCCGGGGAAGGGCGCCCGCCTCGCTCTGCCATGCAGGACCAGCGGCCTGCCGCGAGGGAGAGCCGCGGCCATCTCGGGTGCCCCCGTACGGGGCAGAAGGAGCCGGGGAGGGCACCGTGGCGGTGGGCTGCTCCGTGACGGAAGCGGGGGCGAAGCCCCGTCCTCCTTCCCGCATCGGCCGCGGCCCTGGAGGCGGGATCGTCCCGTGAAGCTGATGCGGAGCGACCCTCGTCCGGAGTAGCAGAGCCGATGCGCGCAGCTCGTGGAAGGGAGCAGCGTCCAGACGCGCCCTCGCTCCGTGTCCTGCGCGCGGGATCCTGGGGCCAGGCGCGGAACAGCGGCCTGGCCTGGAAGGGCGCCCCCGCATCCGCTCCGGCAGGCGTGGCTGCAGCCTTACCGCTTCTCTGGGGATGAAGGTCCTGGCAGGGGTTCCCACGAGGGTCTGCAGCCGCCACCTCACGTGCACGCGGAGGGCAGGACCGGCCCAGCCCCGGCGACCTGCAGGCACACCCGGGCAGGCTCTGGTGCCGGCACGGGCCATGCTTCTGGCTTTTGTGCCCGCTTCCCCCGGCCCCCCACTCCTTCCCTCTCCATGTTCCCACCCCTTGCAATTGAGTTGAGGGGGAAAGCTTCCCGGGCATCTAAGCTTCTTTGTCGGGGGGGGGAGGGGGCAAAGCAGATGGGGAGGGGAAGGTTAACTCTTCTCTTCCCCGTGGCAACCCCTTTAGGGAGCTCCTGCCTGAGAACCGAGCCCGGGGCAGGCGAGCGGCTTCCAGCACCAGCTTAGTTGCTGTGAGGCGGGGGTGTTGCAGGATGCCGTGGGGCAGGCCCTGCCCCCCCAGCGGCAAGTCTGGCTGAGGACCTGTATAGGTCCCTCGAGCTGCTTTCTAAGAAAGCCCCGCAGGCGTCATGGGGCGCTCGGGGCTCCAGCCAACGCTCAGGGCAGGGCCTCACGGGGCAGGTCCCCCAGCGGCCCCACAGCGCCGCTGCCCCCCCCACGCCTGGGACGCAGCTTGGCCTCCCCCCCACGGGGCGGGAAAGGGTTACACTTTTGCTGCTTTCGCTGGCCTCGATGCCTTAAGCGGCTTCCCTCGGCTTGTCAGCTGCTTCGAGGAGCCGCGGCAGAGCCGGGGGGGGGCAGGGCCAGGCTTGTCCCAGCCGGGTTTCAGGGCGAGGCCACCGAGCTGGCCCCGGGCAGCAGGCCTGCGCTGTGCCACCAGCTGTGCCCACCCGCATGGCCTCATGTCACCGTGGAACTCGCACCCAGAGCTCCCTGGCCCAGGAGGGCTGGACTGGGAGCCTTTGCCGAGTGGGCCCTCTGCCCCCCCATCTGCTGCTTTGCAGGCTCGGGGCAACGGCTGCCAGTCTAAGCGGCATGCAGAGCGGAAGCCCCCAAGCCCAGGCAGCCCCCCGCCGCTGCAGGATTCTGGGGCTCGGTCCGAAGCGCCCCTCGCAGCCCCTGCGGTGCAAGTCTGTGCGGGGCCGTGGCGAAGACGTCCCGCCGTGTCTGCGGCAGAAGCGCGTCAGCCTCGGGGAGCGGGACCTGGCTGCCCTCCTTCCTGCGGACGATCGCAGCCTGCGCCCACTGAGGTGGGGGGCGGGTGGCAGGAAGCCGGCTGGGGCTCCGGGTGCGAGCGCAGAGCACAAGCCAGCCTCGGGGTTGGGGCAAATTCGCGGTGGCTGGGATGGCGTGGCAGCCCCCTCCCCGTCCTGCTGCAGGACTCCTGCCTCTGAGCCAAATGCGCGCCGGTGTCCCCTGAGCTGCCCAACCAGGTGTGTGGGGGGGGGCAAAGTAGGGGTGGAAGAACTTCGCAGCCCCTCCCCATTTGCTCCTTTGCAAGTTCCGACGCTGAATATTTTCGGCATGTCAGACGTGATATCGGCAGCGGTGTCTGGCTCCAAGATGTGCTGTCCTGCCATTGAGGTTTGGCAGCTGCCACCTTGGGGCATTCCTCTCGGCACCAGGGGACGGCTGGGCCGGATTGTGCCAGCCGTGCGAGGGCTCCCAGCGCACGAGGGGGGCTTCCCCTGCCCCTGGGCACGGCGCAGGCGGCTTCTCAGCATTGAAACGGCCTGGCTGAGGAGGGCAGCCCAAAGCCACGTCCTTCCTACCAAGAGGGTTGGCATCTGCTGTGCACCATGGCTGGGCTGCCACCGCCCGCCCGGGCCTCCTCGGGAGAGGGACCTTGGGGCCAAAGACGGGGGCCCCGCAGCCCAGAGGGGACACCTGCCGGCTCCTTTTTCTCCCAGCAGTCGTGTGGGTGCTCTGAGTCGGATGGATTTGAATTGTTATCGTTAAGGCCCACAGCTTAAGCTCTCTGGGTTCACAGCATTGAGTCCCCCATCCAGAGCTCAGCCAGGCCCAAGCCTGCTTAGCTTCCAAGCTCAGGCAGGTTCACACAGCAAAAGCCTCCCAGGATAACTCTGCGTTGTGCCTTAACAGGCGCGCAAGCGCGTTGCTCCAATGTATCGGGAATACCTGAAAAGCTGCCCTACGCTTCTCCACCATATCAGAGCATG